TGGGGAAAAGACAGTCTCTTTAACAAATGGTGCTGGCATAACTGGATATCCATCTACAAAAAACTGAACTAAGGCCCATACCTCACACCATGCACAAAAACTAACTCAAAATGGATCAAAGACTTAAATATAAAATCGAAAACGATAAAGATCATGAAAGAAAAAACAGGGACAGTGCTAGGTGCCCTAATACATGGCATAAGCACAATACAAACCATATGTAACAGTGCACAAGCACCAGAAGAGAGACTAGATAGCTGGGAGCTCCTAAAAATCAAACACTTATGCTCATCAAAAGACTTCACCAAAAGAGTCAAAAGACAACCTACAGACTAGGGAAAAAATTTTGGCTATGGCACATCCAATCAGCATCTAATCTCAAAAATCTACAAGATACTGCAAAACCTCCACAACAAAAAGACACATAACACAATTAAAAAATGGGCCAAGGATATGAACAGGCACTTCACCAAAGAAGATATCCAGGCAGCTAACAGACACATGAAGAAATGGTCACCATCATTAGCCATTAGAGAAATGCAGATCAAAACTACAATGAGATATCATCTCGCCCCAACAAGGCTAGCACTAATCCAAAAACCACAAAATAATAAATGCTGGAGAGGTTGTGGAGAGGCTGGAACACTTATACACTTTTGGTGGGAATGTAAAATGGTACAACCACTTTGGAAATCGATTTGGTGCTTTCTTAAAAAGCTAGAAACAGAAGTACCATACAATCCAGCTATCCCACTCCTTGGAATATATCCTAGAGAAACAAGAGCCATCACACGAATAGATACATGCACACCCATGTTCATTGAAGCACTGTTCACAGTAGCAAAAAGATGGAAACAACCTAGATGCCCATCAACGGACAAATGGATAAACAAATTATGGTATATCCACACAGTGGAATACTACACAATGATAAAGAACAAAGATGAAGCCGTGGAACATCGTATAATGTGGTGGAAGCTGGAGGTCATTCTGCTGAGTGAATTTAGTCATTCGCAGAAGGACAAATACTGTATAAGACCACTATTATAAGAACTCAAGAAAAGGTTTAAACACAGAAGAAAGCATTCTTTGATGGTTACGAGGGTGGGGAGGGAGGGGAAGGGTTATTTACTAACCAGAGAGTAAATAAGAATCATCTTAGG